TTAGATTTTTTTTTTAATTTAACAGTTTATTGAATGTTTAGAAAATCTGTAAGAATTAAAGAATTATGAAGAATTTTGATTGTGCTTTGTGTATTGCATTTTAATGGTCAATTGTATGGCCAATATACTATACACCCCAGTTTTTTTCTGAGGCCCAAACTAAGAAAAAAATATTTAGTTATTCATATGACCAAAAATTAGGTTGTAATACAAAATCAGTACAGCAGATTGCACAAAATGCATATAAATATCAGTTGTGTCTTAATAAGATGATATTTAAAAGCTTAGTTTTATGTGTATTTAAATGCATTAAAAGCTCTGTAGTCTGATGTATCATTTGATATTTTAACTTTTTTTTTTTTTTTGATAATCAAGTAGGCCTAAACCTAAGTTGCTTCAGTCCAGTAAATGTTCATCTTGAAATATTAATAACAAAATTAAGTTATTCTTTATAGAAATCATGAAAGATTTTACTGCAAAAAGACACTTGTACCGTGTGAAATCATTGTGCACGATTGTGTAAACACTTTTTTTAGCAACATTTTGATCATGTTGATCATTTAGAGACCTTAGAAATGCATGTGTCATATATGATAGGGTAGGTTTGACAGGGTTAAAAGTGTTGTGTGTGATTGGCAGGGGACTCGTGCAGGGGTCGCTGTGGTGAGCCGTTCCAGCGCGGGAGACAGTGTGAGTGCGACTCTGACTGTGCGCTGCACAACACCTGCTGCCCGGACTACAGCCCACAGTGTGGTAGGACAGGCACAAGCTTTACACTACGACAGGGCTTTTACAGTATAAAAACACTACCTAACATAACTATATGCTACTTAGATAGCATTCATTCGAATTGTTATAAATGACATGAATGTCTTGAAAATGTACTGACTTGATCAGATACCAGTTTTATTTTAGTTTTGACTTATTTCCATCAGATGCTTTCTCCCAATTGCAAGCTGCAAGAAGCTCAAAACTGAACAAACCAACAGGTATTATTTTTTATGTATATTTAATCCTCTTTTTTTTGTATGACTATGACCTTTCCCTTTGGAAAGTTAACCATGATTTTACTACAAATAAAACCAAATAAACGTTATTGTACTGAAACCATGGTATCCATAGTTATAGTTCTATTCAAACATGGTTACTTCACTTTTACTTAAAAAAAATGGTTAATTTTGGTGACAGCTTGAGGGACCCCTTTTGATTGGCTGTAGATACTGTAAATTCAGGAAAAGGTCATTGCCTCAAGCTACAACATGTTAGACATTTACATTTATTCATTTAGCTGACGCTTTTACCCAAAGCGACTTACAATTGCTATATATGTCAGAGGTCGCACGCCTCTGGAGCTACTAGGGGTTAAGTGTCTTGCTCAGGGACACATTGGTGTCTCACAGTGGATTCGAACCCGGGTCTCTCACACCAAAGGCATGTGTCTTATCCACTGTGCCGCCATCACCACCAACACCCCCCCACCCCACCCAAAGTCAAAATTGTCTTCAGTCCCTCCAAAGACCAAAACACCAAAAATGCCTGATCTGAATCCCATCAGAGCTTACGAACAGCCTTCAGACAGTGAGAGTGAGAAGGAACGTACAGGTTTATTTAATCTGTGGAGATTAATTGCAAAGACAGACTGTATTTTAAAGATTACAGGTAACTGAACAGGATACAGACCAACCCAATCTAATGGGTTATTGAGATTTGTTCACTCGCACAAAAGTTGGGACCAGAAGATAAAACAGGACATATTAGTGAACGACAGTGGTTTATGAAACCGCAATCACCAATGGTGAGCCCATCTGACTGGAAGACCTGTAGCTCTCATTTTATAATAACTTCAGATTGAATAATGACAAAGTGTATTTTTATGTTGTGTTTTTTAGATTATACTCAGAAGTGTATGGCAGCGTGTCTCGCAGCCCAGCAAAGCCCAGATCTCATGAGAGATGGTAAGTTCAGAAAGCAGACTTGCATGTCTTCAGTGCCTTTATTACATATATTTTATACATACACACACTAAGATTTATTTGGCAAGATATTTTTTTCTAAGAAGTCTCTAGTGTTCACCAAGGAGGAATTTATTTGATCAAAAATAGTTAAAAACAGTAATAGTATGTGATATTACAATTTAAAATAGCTGGTTTCGATTTGAATAGATTATAAAATGTAATTTATTCCTGTGATGGTAAAGCTGAATTTTCAGCATCATTACTCCAGTCTTCAGTGTCACATGATCCTTCAGAAATCATTCTAATATGCTGATTTGTTGCTTAAGAAACATTTCTTAATATTATCAATGTTAAAATCAGTTGTGCTGCTTAATATTTTTTTTGGGAAAAATTCAGAATTCTTTGATGAAAAGTTCAAAAGAGCAGCATTTATTTGAAATAGAAATCTGTAATATTTGTAATATTATAAATGTATTTACAGTCACATTATGTATATATATTTTTGTGCAACTAAATAACTTTATGGCTCCATCTGAAGCTCCACCACTTCCTGCTGGTGGCCCTTCGCCCCTGGACATCGTCCTCTATGCTCCTCGGACACCCTCTGACACACCAGGTAACAGCTTCATGTGCTTGCTTTAAAAGAATTAACTTATTCAAATTAAAAATAAATATACTTTTAATGGGAAAGAGACAACTTTCAAATACATTACACATGGGATTGCATGGCTTAGGGAAGAATTTCAGAAACTTGGTGGGGAAGCACATTATCTTGTAATGGTTGGTTAGACTTGATTCAATTCATGATTCATAGGGTTTTGGCTGAATTCAAAAGCAATTTGTGCAAATTTAGAATGATTTTTATTAATTTCTTTATAATGTGTCTTGAGCAAGAAAAAGAAACTACTTTATTGCACCCAAAGTAATTTTAAAAGTCAGCATTAAATATATATAATTTTGCCGTCTCAAGTTTACCCTTGCAAAAAAAAAAAAAAAAAGAAGAAAAAAAAGGGGGACAGTGCTTTTTTATTCAGTTCTGGTATTTTAAAATAAGCTATTTCACCTAACAAATGTTTATATATATATATATATATATACATATACACTCACCGGCCACTTTATTAGGTACACCTGTCCAACTGCTCGTTAACACTTAATTTCTAAGCAGCCAATCACATGGCGGCAACTCAGTGCATTTAGGCATGTAGACATGGTCAAGACAATCTCCTGCAGTTCAAACCGAGCATCAGTATGGGGAAGAAAGGTGATTTGAGTGACTTTGAACGTGGCATGATTGTTGGTGCCAGAAGGGCTGGTCTGAGTATTTCAGAAACTGCTAATCTACTGGGATTTTCACGCACAACCATCTCTAGGGTTTACAGAGAATGGTCCGAAAAAGAAAAAACATCCAGTGAGCGGCAGTTCTGTGGGCGGAAATGCCTTGTTGATGCCAGAGGTCAGAGGAGAATGGCCAGACTGGTTCGAGCTGATAGAAGGGCAACAGTGACTGAAATAACCACTCGTTACAACCGAGGTATGCAGCAAAGCATTTGTGAAGCCACAACACGCACAACCTTGAGGCGGATGGGCTACAACAGCAGAAGACTCCACCGGGTACCACTCATCTCCACTACAAATAGGAAAAAGAGGCTACAATTTGCAAGAGCTCACCAAAATTGAACAGTTGAAGACTGGAAAAATGTTGCCTGGTCTGATGAGTCTCGATTTCTGTTGAGACATTCAGATGTTAGAGTCAGAATTTGGCGTAAACAGAATGAGAACATGGAACCATCATGCCTTGTTACCACTGTGCAGGCTGGTGGTGGTGGTGTAATGGTGTGGGGGATGTTTTCCTGGCACACTTTAGGCCCCTTAGTGCCAATTGGGCATCGTTTAAATGCCACGGCCTACCTGAGCATTGTTTCTGACCATGTCCATCCCTTTATGGCCACCATGTACCCATCCTCTTATGGCTACTTCCACCATGTCACAAAGCTCTAATCATTTCAAATTGGTTTCTTGAACATGACAATGAGTTCACTGTACTAAAATGGCCTCCACAGTCACCAGATCTCAACCCAATAGAGCATCTTTGGGATGTGGTGGAACGGGAGATTCGCATCATGGATGTGCAGCCGACAAATCTGCGGCAACTGTGTGATGCCATCATGTCAATATGGACCAAACTCCCTGAGGAATGCTTCCAGCACCTTGTTGAATCTATGCCACGAAGAATTGAGGCAGTTCTGAAGGCAAAAGGGGGTCCAACCCGTTACTAGCATGGGGTACCTAATAAAGTGGCCGGTGAGTGTATATATACACACACCACAAGAAAAAAACAACAGAATTTACACAAAAGACCCAGTTCAAAAGTATAATGTTACCGGATTTGATAATCAAAAAATTAACCAAACTGCATACATGGCTCCACAGGTATTGGTTCCAACCCGTCCGGTTTCCCTCTACCTGAATCCGGTCCTGCTCCTGCAGCTGGACCACTACAGGCAATGGGACCTTCCTCTGGGGCACTACAGGCAGGGGGACCTTCCTTTGGGAATCCCCTAACCATCCCTGTGCAGGTCTCCCTCTCTGTCAGCGGACAAGGCGACGGGCCGTCCAGCGGACCTGGCTCTGGTTCAGGTCGACCCAGCACTCCTACAGACATCGCCCAGGCCATGCCAACCAACAGCCCTGCAGGAGCTGGTATGTAAAACTTATGAATTTGTTCGTTCCTGAAATCAACATTGATGTATGAACATATTTGAAATTAGATGTATTCAGTATAAAAAAACAAAACTTTTTTCATTTAGGGAGAATGATTATAAAAAAAAAGGGGTAAAAAAATAGGTATTTTAACTTTATTAGGGCATAATTTAACATATACTGTCAATCTTTCATGGTATATACTTCTGGTTATTCAGTTAATTCAAATAAATAAAATCTGAATATATTTGAACCATTTTTCTGGGGTTTTTTAAGATGCAAACTCAGACCCTGATCTCTGCAATGGGCTTGCCATCGATGGAATGGTTACTCTCTTCAACGGCACCATCATAGTTTTCAGAGGTAAAACTTCTGTATATATTTTGTTGCGTATTGTGCCGTTTTTTTCTAAAGACACTAATTAAGAAAAATGCTTTCCTTCTCAGGTCACTACTTCTGGCTGCTGAACCCCAAGACCAAAAGGGCCGGTCCTGCTCGTAGAATCACTGAAGAACTGGGCATCCCGTCTCCCATCGACACGGCCTTCACACGCTGCAACTGCCAGGGCAAGACCTACATCATTAAGGTACTGAAGAACATGCAAAATGTTGCAAACCAACTGTGTGTTTGCAACCCCTAAAAAAAACACAGAATTGTAAATTTTCCTTCACTAAGGGTGACAACTACTGGAGTTTTGAGAATGGTGTTAAGGAGCCTGGATATCCCAGATCAGTGTCCCAGGACTTTGGTGGGCTCACCGGGGAGATCACTGCTGCTCTGCCAATCCCAGCCACCAGAAAGAGGCCCGAGTCTGTGTACTTCTTCAAGAAAGGTGCTCTCGGCCCCCTATGTTTGATAAGCATCATTAGAAATAACTAAAATGAGAATATTAATCATTATTAGCATTTTCTAATCAGGAGGCACAATTCAGAAATCCTCTTATCCCCCTGGAAGTGGACCAACTTGCAGTGGAAAGAAATCCAAAAATTCAGTCTACGCCAAGATCCGCCGTGCCAGACAAGCAGGTACTAAATGAACAAAGTACTAAATGCTAAATTGAGGTACTTGAAGATAATGGTCTCAACCAGTGCATTGAAAATAATAGCAACAGAACAGTTATATGCTACTATAGTATCCATTTTGAATTTAACTTGAACTTTTTCACTTTTCATTTTAATTTAAAGGATAAGTTCACTTCAAAATGAAAATTCTGTCATTTTCTCACCCTCAAGTTGTTTCAAACCTGTATGAATTTCTTTCGTCTGCAGAACACAAAAGATGATATTTAGAAGAATGTTGATAACCAAACAGTTTTTGGACCCCATTGACTTCTATAGTATTTTTTTTACTACTATAGAAGTCAATGGGGTACATCAATGGTTTGGTTACTGACATTCTTCTAAACATATTCAGTGTTCAGCAGAAGAAAGAAATTTATACATGCTTGAAACAACTTGAGGGTGAGTAGATGACAGAATTCTCATATTGAAGTGAACTAATCCTTTAATAATTTTATGTACCCTTTGTAATAGTTTATATATATATATTTAAAAAAGCTTCATTTTAGAAATTTGAGCACTTCAGCCTAAACTCAATGAATGAAAATTATTTTTAATACTATTAGTTTTAGTTAATGACGACAACACTGCAAACAAATAAATACAACCTCAAAGGTCATTTAATACGTCTCATTTAACAGAGATCCAGTTGTCGGGGGAGATCAACATCACACTCAAAATGAACGGCTTCCCGACCCCCGTGACATCAGCCATGTCCATGCCCAACCCCAAGAAGCCCGATGGTTTCGATTACTTTGTTTTCTCATGGCGTAAGTAACAATATTTTGTCTTGCAACAGATAAAAACTAATACTTGTGTGTTTAGAAGTTTAAAATTTCAGTCAGTTTCTTTGAATCGGTTCATTAAATCGGTATATATGTAATAACACAATCTCTGTCATTTACAGCTAAAGTCTTCAATGTCAAGATTAGCGGTGAGCTGCCTGCTTTGACAGCCCCTGTCAGCCATTCCTCTCAGCAGAATGACATCAGCAAGTGGCTCAACTGTGCCTGAAAGACCCGCACTAAACAAACACCACCTGCAGCTGCATGGCGAGAAAGATTCTCCATTTATTAGCAAAACCTTTGAACATAGCGTCAGGATGATTACTCTCAAAATATAAAACAACAAATCGAACCAACATTGAAAAGAAACATTAACCAAAGTAAAAAAAGCAGTAGGCTGATTCCGGGGTCTTTGAATAGTGTCGATCATGGGCGTGTGATCAGTGTTTCTGCTGGGCAGACGCTGTGAAGGCAGGCGGATTTAGAAGGGAGTGCCTCTGTTGAGTCCTCGACCCCGGCCTCCACGAGGAAAATCAATACCTATAGGATAACATTGAGATACCAAATTGAATCTCACTCTAAACAAATTGAAGATTTTTGTAGATTAAGTTTCTACAATAAAAAAAATTCTACAGAACAAACATCCAATTTAATACAAACTGTTGAATAATGTCCTGACAAATAAAAAGCTTCTGTATACATTTCAATTAACCTTTGCTTCAATAAAATAAAAGCTTTAAAAATACAGTCTGTGTGGTGTTACTATACAGTACGTGAGAGAGTGTGAGTAATGAGGATGAGTGACATGAGTGAGTACTGGGATCCTAACCTCTCCTGATGAGCTGGTTCCTCCGGGGCAGCTGGTGCTGAAGGAGGAGTCGGCTTGCAGGCTTGGCCTGACCAGTACTGCTGCTAGTGCTGGTATCTAAAGACAACGAGAAGCGGGGTGTTGTTGGTTTCATATAGTTTCACATTTTCAAGAAAAGTTTAAACAATCTCTCAAATGACAAAAAAACGTCATGTTTTTGTCAACTATTTTAAAGTAAAAAAAACAAACACTTTCATTACACCTTAAATACATGTGCAAACGCATCAAGATTTTAAAAAAAGCATTTTTGTACAAATAATACATACTCATAAATACCGTGATTTAGTTAAAAGTGGAGGTTTTATTACTATTATTTTTATTAATATAGCCTTGGGTGATACAATGATGATGACAACAATATGCTTTGCTTAACAAGTACAACTAATTTTACTAAACTACTTACTGTTTCTTTTCAAGAATTTCATTCTTTACTGAGGCTTTTTCTGAATTATTTCAGAAATTAAATACATTGGTTAGTTACACTTTATTTTAAGGTGTTACACTGTCATAATACATTTCAGCACTACATGTACTTACTTAGGGTTAGTTGCATGTAATTATGAACAATTTTAAGTAATTACTTTAGCAACTACATGTAACAAGGAAACTGTAAAAAAAAAATAAAAAAAAAAATTTGGTGTTACTTTAACTGGTCCTACTGACCCACTCAGAGAGGGATTTGAACCGTGTTCTCCAGCGTGGGAGGCGGCGCTCTAACATGGACGCTAAAGGCCGCAGCTTCTAGCGTCAGTCGCTCTTGAGATCAGGGGAGGGAGGTTTACACGCACAGCTCTTACTGGCCTACGACAGTTACATTGCCAATAGATTTTTTCTTTTTTAAATGAACATAGATACAAGTATGAAATGGTGTGTACCTGCGGAGCTGGATGTGGGCTCTTGACTAGTGGAGGGCATGCTGGCATCGTCGAGCGGCTGAGTGGACTCCATCTCCGACTGGCCCTCTAGACACGCCTCACTACTCGCCCTATACAGATAGCACAATTACTACAAATCCATTGAAAAAACTGAAAGAGAGGTGAACCAATAAACTGAGTGAGCACCCACCCTTCACTCTCAGCCTCAGCCACAAAAACATCATCTCCATCATCTCCCGGGACAGCTTCGCCTGGGGCGGTCAGACTGGCGGTGGACGTGCTCACCATGGGAACCGACTGAGAGGCTGTCTCTGACACATCAGAGGGGTGACTCTCTGTGAATACAGTCACTGTCCAGACAGATGAAAGTGGTAGGAGAACAGTTAGGTTTGACTAACAGACATGTATATCGACCAAATGAACATAACCTGACTTCCACCAGCTGCTCACCTGGAGCAGCCACTTGTAGAGGGGTGGTGGGGACACTCCTGCCTCCAGATTCTTCATCGTGAGTGGGCAGGAAGAGAGGACTTTCATACATGCCCAACCCTGCCAAAGACAGACACCCTCTTACTTTTATGCGACCCACATAACAGGAAGAATGCCGGGTCTTACCCTGCATTCACATCAATTACACTACTTACCAGAATGATCACAATTACCAATATCCAAATAGTAAAAAAAAAAATCAAATAAATAGGACTTATTCCATTTGACATCATGTAAAATCCTAAGCAAACTGAATGTTTTGCGGTCATTAAAGCAGTACATGGCTTATTTAGCATTATGGTAACACATTAATGTAAGGTTCTGTTTGTTAACTAGGCATGCATATTGGTCACCAGATGATATTTAAAGGGTTAGTTTACCCAAAAAATGTAATTCTGTCATTAATTAATATACGTATCATATTAAAATGTGATATTTTACAGCATTTACTGATCATGGTTAAAGTTAATTTATAATTATACTGTTCATAATTAGCACATGCTAGTTTACAATGCATAAAAATTGCGTATAACCAGTGGAGGACGAAGAACACAAATTGAGTACTTTAGTTAAAGTACAGGTACCCTCATAAAATTTTATTCTAGTAAATGTATTAAGTACACCTTTTCAATTGTACTCGAGTAAAATTACAAAAGTACTTGATTTTTACGTAATCAGGATTTAACAATTTTATATTAAAGGGGTGGTTTAATGCCCCTTTTTACAATATGTAAAACAAGTCTCTGATGTCCCCAGTGTGTATGTGAAGTTTTAGCACAAAATACCCCACAGATTATATATTTTATAGCATGTTAAAATTGTCCCTTTTTGAGGGTGAGCAAAAACAACGTCCTGTGTGTGTCCCTTTAAATGCAAATGAGCCGCTGCTCCCGGCACAGAAAGCGGAGCTTCAAGAGCTCGTGTGTTAGCAGGCAGCTTGCAGACATGCACTAAAATGTCAGAAACTGTTCTGCCTTTTATGTTCAAACCGAAGTCGGACAATGATGGAGAGACTCAAGAAGACGTAGAATGCAACAGGACGTTTCTGAATGGTTAGTTGAAGATAGTTAACACCACATCAGCTACATACATTCATCAAGTCATTGACTAGCATATTCTGCCATGATAATCTATAAATCACTAGTGTGAGAACTGTTGTAAGATGCCTACAGAGTAACATGCTATTGCATTTGTGTTACATACTGTATTGCAATAAATGTGAAAAGACGGATGCGACAGCTTGAGCAGACTCCCAAATGTGCTCTATACAACTCTTCC